ATTTACAGTTATTGTTTGTCAGTTTAATTCAAGAGACCGTGCAGTTAATTAGGCCACTAAGCGTTATGTTGTTTCACTACTTATTCACCCTAAAACAACAATGAACTTTAGTATTTTCCCACAGTATTCTGCAAGCATAGGTTTTAATTTGATTTTTAAACACCCTTTTCAGTTATAACAACTTTTACCCTCAGAAGAAGACTTTCCATAAAGTTTGAGAATTTCCAACCATTCTTCCAGAAGTGCATTATTGAAGCCTGACTCGTCTCAGATTCATCCAAACAGTAATCCAGAGGGTTGAGGCCAACACACTGTGCATGCCTGTACTTCTAAATCAGACTCACATCCATGTATAGATAGATCTCACTTTGTGCACTAGTGCAAATGTTAAAATAGGACCAGCAATCCGCAAACTGTTCCCACAAAGGGAGAAGCATGAAACTAGACAAACTGTTAAAGTATGGTTAAGCAATAAAAGGCAGTTTCATACAAACTAAGGGGACCCACATCTTGGACAACACCCTAATGCCAAAAATGAAGGGGTCTATGTTTAAATGCTGGATTTCATACACTTATGATGACCATGTTAAAAACTGACATATCGAAATGTAATAATTTGCTATGTTAGTAAATGCTTTTGACAGTTCCGTTAGTATAGCTAACAGTAGAGAGATATACCACAGTCTTAGGGAACAGTTGCAAATCCCCATGGTTTTAGTAACTGTTTATTCACAGATTTTCTATTCTCTAAATTCCTCATCAGTAGATGAGTTCGTACCGTCAGTACCTAACAACCCCATATAGAAAAAAGTCAGCTAAAATGTAGCACAACAACAGAAAAATGCAATGTTAGCATTTTGAATAGCCAGTACTAGATATAACGTAAAGTTTTTAAAAATCCCACTGGTTTCATTCTCAGATCTAAATTCTGATTTCAATTCAAATGGATTACAGTAACTAACCTTTGTTCCTCATTTACATTTGTTAAGAAAGTTCAACCCCCCCCCCCCACACACACACACACAATCATGCTTGTTTTGGGAGGTTTCTGGTGAAGCATCACTGTGAGGATGTCAGCTTTTTTGTCTGTTTATGCTTAATAGCTTCACATTACAGTTCGAGGTTTTTTAATACAGCAAATCAATATAACAGTTGTTGTGCAGGTACTATAGCTTCCACTGGTGGTACTTTTGAGATTTGAGAACCATGGTGTTAGAGCAAACTGTAGTACTTTGCAGACATAGCATATTCGAAAGAAAACTGCAAAGGACCCTATTTATAATCAACCAATCAGGTCATTTGAGCATACATTAGGGATTAATTGATCAGATTTGAAATAAGAATGTTTCCATCTCTTACTGCTGTTTGTTGTTCTGATAAAAGCTTATATCCCTCTTTCCAAGTATAGTCCTTTTGATGAAAACAGACAGCGCACTCCAGCTGAGGATAATGATTGCCAACTCCAACAGATTCCACTTCCTCTTGAAATAATCCCATTTCTGGCTCCTAATTAATTTTCCCTGTTGGTACCAGAATAAGCACATGTAATTAATCCTGGTTGAAACTTCAATTTTTTTTTAATAAAAAAGCGTGTGTAATACCAATGCACCTGAACAAACATGTAGTAAATAATGAACAGAAAGTAAATGATTTCAGAGGCCATGACAAAGATGTGGAGGCCCCCAGCGGACTGGTAAAGACGGACACTGTGAAGCTCGCTGCGGAACTGGAAAGCGCCTGGATTAAAATAATAACACAACATATTAGTTCTTGCTGGGAGCTCTCAAATACAATCTACTGCACCTGAAGGGCTAACCAGTGGCTGTGGTTTCCAGCATGAGTGAAACAATGCAGAAGAGGTTCACATTTGCATTGTACACCGTGAACTCAGCGAAGATGGCTTGGGTGTACACATCTAACCAAGTTTTGTCATAAAGGTACTGAAGGATTCTAGGGAGGTATGGATGAGACAAGGTTAATATTGGGTTCTCCCATTCCATTTAAAGGTGATATTTTTTTTATACAATTACAGACTCTACCTCCTTGACTTTTGTAAGTCTGGGCCCAGATCCATGACAAAGCCGCCTCCTCTGTAGTGCATTACGCTGCCCCAGATGGGAAAACCCCTCAGCTCGCTCTGAGATCTGTACATCCACGGGTTGTGGGGGTTCAGGGATGTGTTTTTTACCACATTAGGACTCCAGCCAGGATCGTAAGAGCCGACGTCCTCAGAATCCCAAGAGTAAGAAGTGTGACAGTCTGGAACAGACTCCTGCATGGTGCTGGCAACGTGGCATGAGTTTTTCTGCACTCTCACCTGGCGGAGACGAGCGCTACCCACAAGCTTTGAATTTCCATCTGTAATAAAGCCTGTGTGAGGAAAAGAGATGTTTAAATATGATAAAAAGGACATCAACAAAGGGCAGATCCAGTTAAAACAATATTATTCTATGTGATTTAAGCTTTTTTTGTTAAAAGAAACAGAAAATCTTTGATTCACAGTCCCATCTTCCAAAAACTGAAATGTAAAATGTTAATTCAAACAGAATGGATTTTCATTAAGCTAGATTTTTATTGAAAAAGTTAGTAAATTAATTAATTCATTCATTAATTAGTAAAAATAAATAAAATGTTTAGCAAAACGTTTAGGAATTTTTTTATTTTAAATAACCAATTTCAAATAGTTGGGACATGGACAACAAAAATCTTATGTAAACATATGTAACATTAATTATAGTTCACTAAAATATTACAGGAATCTTTAAAGGTCCCATATTATGTTACATTTTAGAGTAAAAATTACTCACAATGAAGCCGCCACGCCACGGCATGTCTTTACATTTTCTGTAGGAAAATTCCTTTCAGATGAGGCAAACAGCCTTTACCAAAATTCTCCATATTCAGCCCTCCTTTGGATGAGCTGTTTCGGCTTTCTAAACCTGTCCTCCCAAAGACTGCATCCCGAAAACCCGCAACCATGACATCCAGTCAGAGTTGTAAAGATAGGAGCATCGAATAATATAATAAAGACTGCAGATTGACCGATTGGCTGCTACATATATGGGGACATAAAGTGAATGTCTTTCTAACAGACTTTTTTTTTAACACTCATTAGCCAAGAGGTGGAGAAGGGCAATGATAGAGGTGTTAGGATTTTTTTCATTTGTGAACTTCATACACAGGCTTCAGGACACATTGCTGTTACAAAATGTTTATAATGTGAATTTTGCTTAATATGGGACCTTTAAGTTCTCAAAAAGGTTTAATATTTTTTCAAATGCCAAATTATTATTGTGTAAGTAATATAGCTGTAGTCAGGGGGTTACAGCTCAAGTTGAACATATGCAAGGTGGAAAACTGTTCTTTTTTCAGATTAATAAACAGAAAAAAATAAAAAATAAAAAATAGAGTTGCTATACCCTCCATTCTAAGAGATTGCAGAAGACTCAACAGCGCTTAGTTAAAAGCCAACATTTCTGATGGTGCTTTAATGCCAAAAGCATGGGCAGCTTAAACATCTGGATAACTAAAAATCTTGAAAAGTTAATACAGTTTTCATTAACATATTCTCCAATCAAAATAATAGATTTTTCTCGGGAAACCCAACATGTTTTCAACACGTTGCATAACAGCAGACCGTATTTATTACAAAAGCATTGCTTTGTTGTACAAGAGTTTGGCCGCTGCACTACTGGCTTGCCTGAGGTCCCCACCTGTCAACAGCTAAAAACATCCTGCTTATTGTGAAACAAAACGATGACCCTGGAATGTCGACCAAGGCATATCCTAAAACAAAAATGAGAAATTTCCACCCAGAAACTCCAACAACCGGTCTTTTTAGTTCTAATATGTTTACAAAGAGTAAAAAGAGAGTGAGAAAAAAAGAAAAAACAAGGTGAAACCTCATAAAAATGGCCCTGTCCAAGCTGCTGTTAAATGCATAATTGGGTAGGGTAGCCTCAATTAAAATGATGGTCTTACCTAGAATTAACTCTTTATTTTCGATAATCCCCAATAAACCATCATCCGACTGGTTTAAATCTCTAGATTCTTCCATCAATAAATTTCTTTGGAAGGATAAACCCCTTCGAATCAGCTTAAAGACACTACAGAAAACTAAAGACGGGGGGGGCCTAGATTTACCTAACTTTCAAAACTACTACTTAGCAAATAGATTACAATACATCTCTAAATGGATAAAACATAATCCCTTAGATGAGCCTTGGATAGACACAGAACGGGGAATATGCAGTAATATAATTTCTGATTTGCTGTTTATTAGCTCTAATATCATGTTTAAAGAATATTAACATCAGCTCTTCTCAGACAGCATGGTGGGAATTTCTTAAAATGGCGAAGTCATCAGTTATCCCATGCAGTCGTACACCCATCTGGAATAACCCTGACATTCTACAAAACAATAATATGATCAACTTTCCATACTGGAAGAATAAAGGTATTACATATCTGGATCATTTATTTGAAGGAACGGAGTTTATCACATCCGACAAAGCAAAGACACAACAGACCACAAACAAAAAAAAAAGCGAAGAAAATCAAAAAATGAAAACTAGAAGAAAAAACACAAGTAAGCAGAGCAATGGAGGGGTAGAAAAGAAAACCAACAGACAAAAGGCCCTAGAAGGAACCGCCCCCAAAACCACGGTCTAAATTATACAAGACACTGATTAAACTGGATGATACAATATCTCTTCCTATTATGAAATGGGAGGAGGATTTATCAGTCAGCTTTGAACAAAACATCTGGGCTCAGATATGTCTAAAAAATTTTAACATAACAAACCCCAATTTACAATTAATACCATACAAAATCATCCAGAGAGAACACTATACAGGTCAAAGATTATTCAGGATGGGTTTTGCACAGTCTACTATCTGTCCACAGTGCACAGGCAATCAACTTCATTATATTCACGCATTATGGTTATGTACGCCAGTTCAGAGGTTCTGGATACAGGTATGTAAGGACTTATCACTGTGCCTTGGTTGCAAAATTTCACCTTCCACATCAATTTGCTTGCTGGGTGACTTTCAGGGAAGCTCTCTAGAAAAAAAATCAGTTTGCATGGCCTTCACTGCATTATGTATCGCAAAGAAAACTATCCTCATGAATTGGAAAAGTAATGATAAACTCAGCATCAGTCAGTACAGAGATCTATTGTTGGATCATATTAATCTTGAGACAGCATCTGCATCCCCATCAGACCGATCTCTCTGGGCTCCCTTAATCGGCTCCAACATTTAGTGTAGTGGGGGGCTGTGGGAAGCGTCCTGCAGGGCGCGGGGGCTGGTTCGGGGTTTTCTGGGTCCTGGGGCTGTGGGGGTCCTCGGAGTGGGGTGCCTGGTGGATCTGACCCCAGAGGCTGTTGCCCCCATCGGGACGGGGCTTGGGATGCCTCGGTGCATCCTACACCGAGGCATCCCAAGTAATAAAACATTGAATTTAAAAAGATTAGTCTAATTTACTTCAGATGAATTCAAAGAAATTATCACTCTGTATATCCGTAAGTTACCCTGCCTCTTGGCCGTAGACAGCTGGAGATAGGCACCAGCACCCCTCGCAACTCCACTTGGGATTAAGCGTGTCAGAAAATTGATGGATGGATATCCGTAAGTTAATGAAATAGAAAAACTGAACACAACAATTATATTCTAATACATTGAAAATTTTCAGTTTCCTTACTATAAAATTTAAATCTAGGATTTATTTTTTAGGACAGACATCCTGGCATAGTCACCTGGGTAATCTCCATAAAGGTTTCTCAGTAAAGTTGTGTTTGCCCAGTCGAACACGTCCCGAATGCTCATGGTGTTGGAGATTCTTTTACTGAAGCTTTGTCGAATGTGTCGGTTCAAAAAAAAGGCATTAGGGTCCCTCTGACCGTATGCGACCAGAAGAAGGACCCACATGAATCCCATGTAAGCTGCATCAAAACACATTTACATCAGTTATTCAAACTGTATTATCATTATTTTATGATTATAGTTATTAATGCTGCAAACAATGAAACTCTACCAAGAATCTCCCTGATGAGGCAGAAGACTTTCTGCTCTTTAATTACATTTTTCCTCATCCTCTCGATGTCTGTAGGAGGCGGTGGCTGGTAGAAACTGCATGTGCTGTCTCTTCTAGCTACAAGCACCACATCAGGATCATCTGAGGGAGAATTTTCATAGAGCTTACAAATATATTCTGATTTTCTTTGAAAAAAAAAAAGATTTTTTTTTAGATCTTTTTAGATTTTTAAAAAATAAATTAAGCAATTTGCCTGCATGTGTGAGCTTCTCTGCAATCTGAGGTTCTCCAAACTCCTCCTGGTCAACTTTCTTTAGAACAAGAGCAAAGAAAGCAGCAAACCCAAGAACCTGGAACAAAAGAATTTCCAACTTTATGGCGCACTATAAAAACAAATACAAACAACAACTATTCAATGTGGAATCTTCTCTTATTAGATATATAAAATAATATAGACAGATAATATAAAATGTTTTATTTTCTGCTTAGCAGCCAACTTATTAAACAAAATAACATGTTGGACATTAAGTAAATGGAAAATTCAGTTAACCATCAATTACCATTTCGCTTTGGCTGAAATAAATCAGTTAAATGTTTAGGAATGATTTCGAGACCTTTAGCTTTAATCTGCCCTGTATGCAGCCACTTACCTTCAGAGGTTGGGTGATAAAGAGACTCTCAAAGAAGGACACCACCATGGAGATAAGCCAGTTTATAGACTGGTCCTTCCCATAGGTCAGCCCATACATCATAGTAAAGTATCCTGACACGGCACTGGTTGCAATCACCAGTATCCACCCCACAAACACAAACCACCATGGAAGGCCACCCTGGCAGCACTTCTTTCCAGGGCCGCTGCTAATACTTTCGTCAGGACTGGGGCTGCGGTTCAGCTGGTCTCCATCCAGCAGAGACTCCAAGTGACTCTTCATTCCCTGAACTTGCTGCATGGCTCTGTTGTAGCTGCTGGTGTTTGGAAATTGAGAGGGTCCTATCAGACGAAGCTCCTTTTCCACATGATGCAGTTGCTTGTACAGGTACCGACTGTTGTTTGTCTTCTTTTGAGTTTCGTCGAATGTCTTTTCCGGGCTTCCCCACAAACCGTTTTCTACTCATAATACAATATATAAGATAACAAATCCAGTTTTAAATATTCAACTGTGAAATAGTTTTGTGAAAAACATAGTTCACCTTGTAGATTGACGGCACCCAAACTCAGAGTCATGTTGCTGTCTTTCTTGAAACTGCTGGAGTAGAAGTCTCCTGTTGCATTGTTCTGACATTTGATGATATCCTCCACCAGAGACAGCAGTATGTTGATGTCTACATGCTGGCCTGGATCAAGATCAAAATTTGGCAATGGACTTTTCATGGTCTTTGAGAGCGACTGCGTTATTCTCTTTATGTCCTATGGCAGAAAACATGTTGAGCTATTTAAACAGAAAAAAAAACACATGCAACTCATAGGATTTCTGTCACTTCACCTTGATCACAGTGTCTGGAGTGATATGCTTTATCTCTGTTTGAGGAGATGAAGTCTGTGAGGGAGAAACTCTAACAGTGTTTCCTTGTTTTGACCCATCTGCTTTGGCACTTCTCTCTTTTGGACGAGTGTTTCTGAAGATGCTGACAATAAGGAGATTGATGGGGAACATGATGATGGAACTTTGAATTCCAACCATGACCTGCTGCCAGGTAAACTCGATGTGGCCTGCAATGTAAAGCTTGTTTTAAAAATTTCTCTAATTTCCTGCAATAGAGAGACTTTTAGTTGGACTTTAGGAACTTTTTTTAATGAGTCATATTAAACATCATGGTGGATCTTGGTTGCATGTAAAATAGAGAAAATTTGTCTTCTTCCTTTTGCATGACTGAGTATTCTTATACAAAAAACAAAATGCCACATGCAGCTTAGCAATCAAACAGTGCATGCAGTAATACTCATGAAGAGACAAAAAGGGAAGAAAGTATCCAGAAATGGTGGGGATGATAGTCATAATGTCAGTAACAAAAAGAAAAAGATTATGGAAATATAACTTTTGAATATATTTTTACATTTTTCCAAATAACCACAAACTCCTATGTATTTTATTGTAATTTGATATGATAGAACAACACAATATACTGTAAACATATAAAGTGGTAGAAAAAGGACAGGAGGGTTTTAATTGGAAGGAAGAAAAATGTAAAAGTTATGATGAATTTAGCCAATTTCAATCTGCAAAAATTGTGTAGTCAGTTGATCTTAGTATAAATCCAACTATTCTCTGGAGACCTCAGAGGTTTATTAGAAAATAGAGAGCAAACTATACTGTGAAGACCAAGGAGCCCTCTAAAACAGGTCTGGGTCAGAGTTTTAGGGTCCTTACAGAGTACTGTTAAATCCATCATTTAAAAATTAAAAAAAGTGTAACACCGCAGCAAACCAACCAATACAAGGCCATCGACCTAAACTGACAAGCTGGACAAGAAGAGAAATTATCAGAACTAAACAGGGGGCCCATAGTTACAACAAATACACATAACTTTTAAGACTTGTATTTTGGGACAGTATAAAAATCTCAAGTATAAATCTTTACTATCATTAAGGATTGCCCATACATATGTAGCATACCTAAATCCATGGTTTGCTCAGACGGGTCTGTAGGGATGCCCCAAAACATAATGCTTGTCAGCATGGTGCAAAGCAAAAGGGAGAAACAGCAGGACACTCGCTGCACACGTGTGAAAGTGCTGCAGGGAGGTCGGCTAATGACCGAGAACCAGATGTGACCATCTTGAAAATCCTTGGCAGTCTTCATAAAAAACAAGTTACTGAAAAGGAAACACAATTGATAGAAATTACAGCAGCTTAAATTATGTTGTGAAATGTCCCTACATCAAAGCAGATCTTACCTAAATCTCTTTAAATCTGACTCTGTAGCCACAGGAAAGACCTTGTCAAGGCAGCACTCAGCCATATCTACAGCAAGCCAGGAGTTACACAGAAAGTGCCATTTCTGACCAGTTTCTAGATCCTGCACCATCACTTTATTCACATACCTGTATATCAAAATGAAAAAAGTTAATGATAATGTCTTATTTTAATCAACTACAGCAGCCGTCAGTATTTTCTCCTTTAACCATGCAGGGTGATCTCCTGAGTTGTCGTGCCAGAGTCTTATGCTCTGCAGATCTCCAAGAGAAAAGTGTGTGGTCAGGAGAAACAAGTCCACCCCTCCTCTCTCAAAGACAGACTTTTCGGGGTCTGTCAGATGGTGGGGTTCACTTTCTCCCTCTGTTCCCAGCAGAGTTATGGTAACCTAAAAGAGAGGTCAGTCAGGGTGGGTGAGGTTTATTAAAATAGCTATTCAGTGGTGCTGTGATTTACCTGAGAGGAAGTGGCTGCACCATGACGGTGGCCTGTATTAACAGTTAGCATGTAGCGATATTCAGCCAGAGGGTCATTGTCGTCAAGAACTGTTATCTTAACCTGAAAGTGAGAACCGAATAAAATCTAGCAGCTTTGTCGATGTGGTGAAAATAAACATTGAGATCAGAAAATTCTAACAAGAATAACCTTGGTGGAGTCCTGAATGTCTTTTCTGCGTGCCCATACCACCGCCAGCAGATAAGCAACAAAAACCGATCCCACAAAGCACACCACCACCGGATTGTTAGCAAAGGTTGCAAAGAGTTCAGCAGTGCGAGAGACATCCACCAGGTTGGGCATAACAAAGAAAGAGCTGCCGAAGAACGTTAAGTGGTTACAGAGGCACTGAGTGACCAAAGGTGTGGTTAGGGGGCCAACCTGCAGAAACAAACACGAGGTTTCAGTTTATGTATAATGCAGTCATTGTCCATGTGAGCTGTGTTTTTTCTGCACACCCTGCAGCCATCTTCACTCCATGAAGACCTGGTTTCATTCCAGTATTTGCACTGAGCAGCAATGGAAGTGACAGCAACTGTGGCGTTGACTGACTTGACACCTGGCTCAACAATTGGCTTTACAAGAAGGTAATGAGCTCCAGCTCCTCCTGTTCGATCTTTGGGACTTAGCACCCAAGTAAATTTTTCCTCTGTAATAGAATGACAGACAATATTATCCTAGCTGACCATATAGAAAGAGTTGCTAGAAAACAATGACCAGTGATATAAATGCAGGTTTTCACCCATCTAGATTTCAGGATCATGGTTCAAGGAAGACAAGATTTTACTTCTGTATCTAGTTTGAGTTCAGTAGATTATGTGGTCTTGGCTCTGAGTACTTATGTTTTGTGTTTTTGAAGATTTGACTTTGTAAAAGAGGTTCATTTTATAACCAACAGAAGGCTTTAGTACCTTCACTTGTTTTCTCTAGCGGGAGCTTGGTCTTGGCCACATGACTCTTATCGCTTGGATAATCTTTATATCCAAGGAACACCATGAAGGATATGTCTTCAGAAGGCTCCATTTTGAGCACTAGGGTCACCTCTGGTGACGGTATGTCAATCACTAATGTGCTGAAATTTGCGAGGTCAAGGACTGTGCTGTTCTGCTGCCCAATGTTGAGCCTGGGAAGAAGAATCTGAAAATCCACAAAATAAAAACCAGACATCCCCTGAATGTTTTACAGATTAATTTACTGTGAAGATATTAAAAGGTTTGTGATGTGACCTCTATTTCCTTAGGTAGGTTTTCTACAGGAATGACTGTGCCATTCATTCTGGTGAAAGACAGAGAGGCCACAGTTCCTGTGATGTTATCCTCTTTCCAGGCATATGGATTCTTCTCAAAACTCATCATCTAGACAGACGGATGAAACAAAATAAATTTATTGTCACACTTTATTTACACTCATTACTTTGGAAGTAGTTTACAAGCCTGTGTTTATATGCAAATAAAACAACCCTTTAAATCAACTTAAAGGTAAATGCATGCAAATACAAAACGATAGGTTGCCTCTATATAATTTTCCTATATGGTTCTAATTATGCAAGAGTAATAAATTCCGTTTATAAAGTGCCGATTCACAACAGATATCACTCCCAGGCACTTTACAGGGACAATACAGTCAGATTGGTTACAAGTTTCTGTCAAGGAAAACCTGTTGATTGCATCCAGTCATTGACTTGCAAGACATGGTCCTCCATACTGTGACTAACTATGTGCTCTCTTTCGTCCCCTGACATAAGGACTGGCTCAGTGCTAAATAGATGTGTCTTTCCTGGACTGGGCCACATGTGGAGCTAGTTAACACGTATACATTTGCTGCTTCTTTTCTTCTGTTTTATAAAACTGTATCTGCCATTGTTATACTTGGTTTTCAGGTAGTTAGATCATGTATTATTTATTTATTTATTTAAGACTTTCTAAAGGTTCTCCTTTAGAGTTTAGTGGACTGGCACTTTTCAGCCCAGTCTGTCTGACCATGACAGTACAGTGTACAAAATGATAAGAAAATATGGTACAACAAAGATCAAGCCTAAAACACCTATCTAAACTATCAGTAGAGCATCCAGGAATATGGCTAACAAGGACTTACAAGATGCTTTATCCTTTGGTGCATTTTCTATTGTTAGGTACGTTTTCATCTAAAAGCTCTTTGGGAATCCTCTTGTCAATAATAATGTACTATTTTTGGACTTTGAGACAAGTATTCCTCTGGGGGTCTTCATGAATCTAAAGGCATTGGGGAAAAAAAATGTTTTTCTTCTCCTACTTAAGTCTTTTACGTAAAATGTATATAAATGGACCTCGCTGTTCCATCCTGTGGGTTGAGAAAATTTTATGGTTTAATGATAAATATGAAAGATTTAAGCTTTCAAGTAAATGTCTGTTTAAAAGGGGTCAGTTAGTGGGGTGATGGGTTAAAAATGGTATTTGAACCGCAAGACATGGAAAAAAATCTTTGTTTTTGCATTTTTTTTCACTGCTACTCGGGCTCCACACGATGGCAGCCCAATGCTCCCCAAGGGGTTGGGTTAAATGCAGAGGTAAATTTCTCCAATGTGAGATCAATAAAGTTTAAAGATCCAGGAGTCTTTTTCAATTGTGCTTGCACGCACCAGATCAATCGATGTTGGAGAAGTTCAATTTTAAAGCTGCATGGCAGCCCATCCTCTTAAGTACATTGCAAGTCAGATGCAAATCAATGACCAACATATCGTCCCCCTGGGTTGTTGAAGTGTTAGGCCCTTTAAATTCAAGATGATGGTGCCGATGTAATTCTTTGGAATGAGTTCCATGACTGATATGTTTAGAAGTTGAAACCACAATCATCCCCTCTGTTCAGTGATTTTTTAAATCTTTTCACAAAGGTCATAGCTTCATTCACCTCCCTTTAAAAGAACATTTTGATCATCAAACGTGGGTCATATGCTCTTAAGGCGCAAGTTAACAGCTGAATCTTGCACAGGGCAGGGTATTTGTGTAGTCGTTTGGCTTCTCTGATATAGGACTCCAAACAGTCCTCTGTTCACTGGGCCGCATAAACACCACCACTCAGCTTTGGTCTGGGTGTGTTTGGTTTGAAATTCAATGGTAACCACAGATTGATTTGGTCTGAGCCGACATAATTGACAAAGACTCCAGGATAGGTGTTGAAACATATTCAGAGAAAACTAAGCAAAGCTTACACAGGCAAACAAACTGATAGTTTTGGATAGCTCTACTTATAAAATATACATTTTTTTGTATGATGATGACCCAGTAACCGTCTTTGCCACTGGAATTTAATTATTTGTGTTTTGAGAACAAACTAACCCTGATATCCACCGGCTCCGTCGGAGAGAGAATGCCAATGGGGAGTGAAGGAATGGAAAAGCTGGAGGAACCTTCCTTCTGGACATCTATGTTATGCACCTTTATGTCTTCAGAGGATATTCTACAGCAAACACATTAGTTCAAGTTTAGCAAAAGCATAAATTCTGTTTTTTTAGTGTAAACTCAGCCAAGTCCCATTAGTCATTTACCTATTAACATATACACTGATCTGACCAGAATCAATGACCGCAGGCTCTGCATTCAACTTCTTATTATTCAACAAAGCACTCTGAAGATTGTTAATCCCAACCAGAAGGAAATCTGAGACTTTTTTCTGAGGATAAAAATAAAATCACATTTGTCAGACACCAAATATAAACAAGGAAAACCTTATAGCTGCATATATGAAGCTTCTGTCCATACATTTGATGAAACATTTAGAATATTACTGGCTGCTTCAACTATGGGTGTAGCTGCTTGCACAACATCTTCATCTCTTCTTTCATGCGGTTGGATGGTTATGGTGCAAAGGTAAGAGCTGAGGTTCACCAACAATGAGCCAGCTTCCTCCTGAACAAGGGGCATGAAACAAACAAGCATGCATGATGTAAAGCTAAATTCAAAATAACACATTTATCAGTCGATTATGAACCTTTATGTTCAGTTCAGTTATTTAAGTGAAGAAGGAAAATGCTTTCTACAAAGGAAATTAAGTTTTTAATTATTAAAAAAGGGCTTGATTTCCAATTCTGTTTACATCAGGATTAAATGATGTAACAACTGTGGCAAATATAAAGTAAAGCCAGATAATGCTGGGTATACGCTAAAAGGCCATAGACCTAAATTGTATATTTCAAAGACTTTTTAACATAAAGTACTCATGCTTTGAAATATTTTTAGGTCTTTCTGATCATAACCGATTTATACCACCTGAATTAAACGTATATAGAGATCATTGTACAAGTGTTAATATTTAATTGAACTTTTACTGATTTCATCTCACTAAACCCCAGACTGAAGTACATTTCACTTTGGTGGAATTGCTCACTTAATGCTTTCACTTCTACCAGTAAATGTTGAAGGTGGTCTACTGTACTTGAGCGAGAGGACTGAGCTCATCTGACATCAGCGTTAGTCCAGCCACAGCTTCGGCTGCAACTTGAACTTCTTGTGTTGTGTTGCTTGGGCAGTCCTGCAGAACTTCTGTCATTTTGGTCAACATCTGTTCCCGGAGCTGAAATGGTAAAAGAAAGAGATATCAACAATATTTCACGAACTCTGATTCTGTGTTGTACTGTAGCTGCTGCCTCAATTTCATACCTTTGTTTTTGCGTCCTTCTGACCTCGGTCATCCTCTGAATTCAGGACGTCCGAAACGGAACTGAATATTTGTCCAAGTGCCTCACCAGAAAGCAGGCCTTGCTGTTCCAGTTGATCTACAGTGTCTTTGACGGCAGACTGAAGAGATAGTATGGAGGCACTGGAGTTGCTTTTCATTACCTTGAGGATCATAATCGGTTTATTCCATTAACCCAGGGCTTGGATTTCTAGGATTGTGATATACCATATTTGCTGTAAAACTACAAACCTGAGTTGCAACAGTTGTAGTCGCTGTTGTGTGTTTATTCTTCACTGTCACAACCACAGTAACAATGTGATTGTTCTTCTCATCTCCCAAAGGCAGGAAGATTGATTTCACTACATTTGTATTACTGCAACGGAGATGTTTGCCTTAGAGATAAAGAAATCCGCTTTAGCTTTGTTGAATTATTGGTCCTCTTGAATAAGCTGGCAAAACTATAATATTCATCATAATGTTTTGTAGTTTTTTTCCTCAATCAACTAAGAGATTGTACAAATAATTGTAAAATTATAATATTATGCTTGTCAAACATCTTCGTGTTTCCTATTTTCCCTTTCACGGGGGCACAGATGATCATCTGCCTCCATGTAACCCTATCATTCGCATCTTTTTCTGTAACACCAACTTCTTTCATGTTTGTTTTTTTTATTCCATCCATAGATCTTGGTTTTCCTCTTGGCATCCACCCTTGCTGTACCAGCTTCAATATCCAAAGGATTTATTCACCATCACTCCTTTGAAAATGTTAAAATGCTCTCAGTCTGGCCTTATATCCAAAAAAATCTAACAGGACATTGACCTTCTGATGTACTTATCCCTGATACTTTTCACACTTGTCACTCCTAAATAACACTTCAAACTCTTCCTCTCTGCTCTCTCCAGCTCCGCCACCTATCTTATCAGTGCAACCGTGTCTAAACCATAAAAATTGTTGATCTCATTACCATCTTGTGCATCCTTACTTTCAGTCGCTGATAATCTTATCACACAAAACTTCTGATACCTTTCTCCATCCATTCCAACCTGCTTTTCCGCTGTTGCTCTTGACCCAAAGCACTTAAAAACCCTCTACCTACTTTATGTCAGATCCCTGAGGCTTCATGGGCCCTCTTCGGCCCTCATCATTCACAAATGTATTCTGTCTTGGTATGGCTAACATTCATTCCACTTCATTCCAGGGCAAATCTCCAACTCTCTACACTTTCCTGTCACCAGTCCTATGCTTGCACTGCAGATCACAAATTCATCTGCAAAAATCATGGTCCATGAAGATTTAAGTCTAACCTCATCTGTCAAACTGTCCACCACAAAAAACAAGAGACAGCCGACCCCTGATGCAGCTCCACTTCCACCTTAAACTTCTTTTATACCTACAGTAAAACTCGCCACTATCTCACAGCTGTCTTGAACCACCAATAATCTTCTCTACAATTCCAGACTTCCTCATACAGTATCACAGCTCCATTCCATAACTCTGCACCTCTCCTTTTTGATTTGTACCAGTGCACTGCCCATCCATCCCTTAGGCATCTAGTCAAAAACTCTACTGCCGTCTGTCCTACACACTTCCATACCTCCACAGGTATGTCATCTGGACCAACTGCCTTTCCACTCTCCATCCATTTTTATAACTTTGTTTCTTCATCCTAATTTTTTTTACCTCCTGATCTCTGATGGTTACTTGTTCTGCTCCTTTTTCCCCCTCTCATTTTCCTCATTCAACTCTTCAAAGCACTTCCATCTTCCTTTCACAAACCTGTCTAACATCCTTTCCATCTCTACCTTAACAGTCTATATGTGTTTTTCTCCCTCCTTAATGTCCAGCCTATCAAACAAATAACTGTATTACCTTGTAGCTATGCCTCAATGTCATAACCCAGGCAACTTTCTCACTTCTTACCTCATCTATTTGTCTGAACACACTCCTGTACTTCTTCGTTGCATCAGTAAGTCTTGTTCTCAACTTTCCTTTTAATAGAAATACTGAGTGCTTTCATTATGTTCTTCCCTATTTCCTCATCTGTAGTTCTCCAGTCTTCTGGAAGATCCTCCTCACCACCTAGAGCTTTATTCAACTCCTCCCTGAAAGCCACTCAATGCTCTTCCATTTTTAGCTTCCACTACTTTGTCCTCTGACCTGAATTTGTACATTTTAACCTCCTCATCATCAGAGTCATTTTGCTCTCCACCATCCTGAGCCATTTGGCAACGTTCTCTCCAACTACTACCCTACAACCATCGAGTTTGTTCAGGTTCCTTCAGAAATAAAGCAGGGTAGTCACACATAAATGACCCATACATCAAATGACTGCCTTTTAAATATATATATCTTCCATTAAATATTTTAGTTTATCATATCTTTTATTTTAATTTGATAATTTCCATTATTATGCATATCAGTTAATTTATCAATATATTCTTTAAGAATGTTGCAACTTTTTTAGCATCAAACCGTTACCTGTGTCGGTCTTGAGGCAATAAAGACAGCCTGTGGAGCAGAAAGACGTCAACTCACAGGTAATTTCAAAAGCATCAAGCACATTTCCTGACTGTGGAGAGATGCTGCATGTAGGTACAGCAGGTGCAGCTGGGATTGGAATACTGTATTTGATAAACCCAGGGACCTTCTTGCCTACAGTAATTAAAAACAGATTAAGTCCCATTCACATAGGGTACAGTTGATTTAATATACAATCACATGCTGTGAAATAAAGAGAAAGTACCATAAGCAATCACAACGATGTTATGCTGGACGCTCCTTGAATCTCTTAGATATTGACTGGGGACTGTGTATTCAGTGTCACCATGTTGTATATTTGTAGGAGGACTTCTTCCTGCTTTTGAGTAACATTCATTGAGATCCTCCTGAGGGACAAAAAAGTAAGTAGTCCTTAGTAAAAAAAAAAAAAAAAGATGTTTGATTTTGTAAGGATTAAATCAAACTTGCCATCATAGGTTTTGGATCTTCTATTAGCCAAACTACATCTGGGCAAGTTGTTGCACAGCTGAGACTTAGCTTTGCACTTTCATTCACATTTAAGGAATCACAGTTGTTACACCTGCAAAGACCAACAGTGAAGATAATTACAACATAGCAAACAAGAAATGGAGCAAAAAAGAGCAAAAACACATGAGGGTTTATTGCCCCTAAGTTTGACACTGAACCTGTTTTATTTTATGTTTTTATATATTCTTGAGACAGTATGTTGTGCATGTAATATATAAAAGCTAAAATTTAAAACGTTTTACCTGATTGTGATGTCCTGAAATTCCTTTAGAGGGGTAACTGTAATGCATTTAGAGGCTCGGGCAAGCTCCACCCACTTCCTAAACCATGTTCTTTTCCTCATAGTCAAACTGTATTCAAAAATTTCAAATGGATTAGGAAGACAATCTTTTTCAATCATATGAGTTTCTTCCCTTGTTGTATTTCTGCATGAGCAGTGTCCATCTGGAACAAAAACAAGTTACAGTGTTACTATCAAATAAAGGAAAAAATGCCCCAACACAGACAAATAAAACGTAAAGTATTTTGACCCAGAAACAACTCCAACCTTTGCATCATCTATATTAAAAAAGCAAAACAGACATTATGTCCTGCCTTGAAATACCTGCACACAGAAAGCCCATATTATGGTTTTGGAAGAACAACAATATGCTTTCTGAGTTGCTTAGATAGAAACAGAAATCTGTGGCATGTAAATAGTGCGCCCATTTGCTGATCACCCTCTAGCAATGTTAAAGAAGAAACAGTCGAGTTAAATCCCTTAATTTTCAGGCATGTGAGCTGTAGAAATGATTTTCTTTCATTTGAATTTAAACAATGGTGGAAATAAGACCAAACCTACAACTTCAGCCTTAATAATACATGGTAAATGAATGACTAACTGCTGACTTTAACCGTGGTGAATGGCTGTATAACTTACTGCATTGCCACTCAAATATGAATCTTTTGCTGTCCTGAAATTCAGCACCGGCTACATTCAGCTCAACACTCTGACTGTGATCAACGACCTGGTCAGGAGAAGCTGTTATTTCCAAGCCGCCTGATATTTCATAGTTATCCTCCTGCAAATAAGATAGTTTGGTGGTAACAAGAAAAAAAAAAAATCATATATATATATATATATACACATACACGCATACACACATAGAGTATACCGTATATAGTGAGTCGTGTTTACTATTTCAACATACCGTGTTTTCATTTTCACTTGTCGAGGAGTAATTCTGGCAAGCCTGCAGTATTTTCATTAAGTCAATTTCCAGCTGAGAGCTTGAAAAGACATTCACAGCTTGGACTTTCACTTTCAAAAGCCCTGTTTATAGAAAAAAATATATAATTAAGCTGAATTATTTCCAAGATCTGTTTTTTTTTTATGAAAATAATTTTAAATCCTACCTTCCAGTGGGTGGGAGAACACGTAAGTATGCAGGCTATTATTAATCATGTTTCTGGTTTCAGTCAGCATGTCTCTTAACCCACTGAAGTTAAAATAAAGCTCCACTGGGGACCCTTGCTTCAATGAGACAGCAATGGCGAGATCGGGAGAGTCTGGACATTCATCCTCTTCTGTCATTATATGGGCCTGCAGGCCGACAACAGGTTCCAGGAGGCACAGCAGCAGGTCAGTGGACACTGGGTGGGGTGTGACCCCATTAGATGCAGATATGGTTAAATTCTTGCAGCCAGGTTTAAGACTTTGAACCACAGTCTGATTCAGTGTGATGTTGTGAGGTTGGTTCCCCGAGTCCACAAAAGAGTTTGCAATCTGATTGCTATTAAGAAGAACTGAGTATGTAACATTTGTCCCTTTTAGAAGAAAAAAAAAAGAGAAAAAAATGCAATGCCTTAAGAAACTAGTCATTTTGAATGTAGATCTAAAAAAAGTAAGGTAAGTCTTTTTGTTTAGATACTACCAATTTATTCAAAAGGAGAAGTCGTAGGTTACTTATCAAGACATGTCTAATATAATATGCTGCAGAACTGGGGGAAAAAAAAACTCACCTGTTTCCAGTCCAAGTTGTATCTGAACAGGCCCCCCATCGAAGGTGTTGCATTTGGTGCCATCTGTTGTCACATTGTTGCCATAACAATTCACCACTCTCAACTCACCAACAGGCTCCTGGATTATTATAGTTTTCTGAGCAGTGACGTGCCAGTCACTGGTGCTGCATTCAACCTCAACTATGAAAACACCAGGCTTGCGAAATCTGTGTATGATTGCAGACTCCATCCTGTGACCCAAAATAAAGACTAAAGTTTGATTTAGTTAAGGCCAGATGGACGTTCAATCCAACTGGTAAAAATGCCTTAATCCTATAAAAAAAATAAAATCTTTAAACTGAGCAAATTTGTTTAATGTTACAAAAATACTTTACCAATTAGTGCTATCTTAACAGTCATTGTAAAATAACTGGGGGAGTGTTGTCCTAGTGGTTATAGCAGTGCACTTATGCTCTGAGAAGGTCGCAAGTACCCAGTTCGATCCCCACAGCCTGCACTCTGGGTCTCTGAGCAAGACCCTTAACCCCACACTGCTCCCCGGGCACCGCACAATCGCAGCCCACTGCTCCCCAAGAGGATGGGTTAAATGCACAGGTAAATTTCCCCATTGGGTGATGAACAAAGTTCAATTATTATTTTTCCTTTTTAGAATGAATAAATGATTTTTGCCCAGCATCAAAAGAAAATTTCACTTATAAGAATGGGATCAACAGATATAAACTTAAAGAAAGATAACTATGCTATAAAGTATGTATTTAAACAATACTACTTACTCTTCTGGATTATATGGATCAATGATGTGGCCATCTCCAGTATCCACGGTGCAAGTTAAGTTTCCATGAAAGGGATGAAGGAGCCATTTTACAGTGATGGAAACATTATCGACAACAGAAGCCAGTTTAGTGATCTGCAAGGAAAGTCCTGGAACGGTTTAACAACAAAACAACAAAAAAATGAATAACTAATTCACAAACATAGTTAACACATGCAAAATGAGAAGATGTTCTTTTTTTGGTAAAGGTTCTCACCCATCAAGGAGATGAAAAATAGAAAATAGTTTTAAAACACAATACAACTTTAATTCTTTACTTGAAGATATGTTTCTCTCCATGCAAAGAGTTTCTTCTGAAGTGAGTGAGAGGAAAGAATCCAGGCATGGTTTCTATTCTACAGTCTACACCTTAAATGTATAGTTTCATTTTTTAGAAAATTCTATTTAGGCTTCCTTTCCACTTTAAAAAAAATGCACATGTACAACCTTGTATCCGCTCCAGAGAGGGAACGCCTATTAAAAGCGTGCAAGAGAATGCACAAGCCCTTTTCTCCTCGTGTATGCTCTGTTTAAAAGTTGCTGTTTCTGTAATTTGTTTTGTTTGTATTTATAAATCAACACCTTTGGGAAAGGAAAATTTTAACATTTAATTAAATTCTGTAAAGAAATGGTTTATGCCTTTACCAAATATAAATGAATTGGGAAAAAAAAGTTAGTGTGGGCAATGCTCATACAAGCTTACTTTCCAAAATAATTTTTCAATTTTTCCAATATGTCAGACTCACCAAACATAAGTAAAAAAGGGGACAAGCACGTAGGACGGCTTTACGTAGACATATCACCAGAAGGATTTACAATTAGGAGGACCACTTATTGTGAAGATCCACCCAGAAAAAGAACATCCTCCACTATACCTGTAAGGCAGGGGTCTGCAGCCTGTGGCTCTGAAGCCGCAAGTGGCTCATCGAGCCTTTCAAAAAAAAAGTCCTCTAAAAACTTTGCCTAAAAATAACTACATATAGGTATAATAAATAATGCAGGTCTTAAGGTATTTTTATTTATTTTTATATTAATGCTCTGATTTTCTGCATTAAAAATTATCCTAAAGGTACCAGCAAATTAGGTCATGTATTTAGTAGTGGTGCACCGATGGCAGTTTTCTGCCCAATCATTAATCTTAAGAGAGGCTGACATGCGGATTCTGGGAGACTCTTTTGAGGACCAAAATGCTTTTGGACCTTTTAGGCAGAACAGATAGTTTGGATGATGAGTGAAAGAAGCTAAAAGAAACCCACTCTCCACTGGGGGTGCTCAGAATAACATACCGCCCTGCCCTGTGCCCTCTCAGTTCCAAACCAATTCTCAGTTTCCTGCAAGCAACCAAAACCAGCTGTCTGTAACCATGCTAAGTTATTTAGAGACTAATCTGCATGTGAATTGAATGTTTTACAAGTAATCTTTATTCCCTATTGCCTTTGATATGAAGAAGCTCAGAGGAAGCAGAGTGAAACTGTTCCAGCTATAAGAATTAAACTCCAGTTTAAGCAGTCTCGTTTGAAAAAACAGATTGTCTTTGCATAAATAATCACTGTAAAGCATTAAGATAGACACTATAGAATGTGTAACCTGTTAATATTACTGGAAGAGCATGTTTTGTATCTGACCGTCTTTGCAGTGGTACTCCACCGATAGATAACTTCCCAACACTGGGCAGGGTTCAGTGAAGGAGTTCAGATCCAATGGAACCTGGCAGGCCTGCAGTCCACGACAATGAGCTGAGAAGAAAACAGCAATAAACCGAGAATGGAGGAGAAAAAAAAAAAACACTTGTGTCAAAAAGAATGACTTTAATACTTAATCTATTCATTGTTTTTTTTTTTTTAATGATAGAACTGGTTTACCAGCTGTTTATGATAAATCTCTTTAGTGAGACTAATGAGATTATGAAAGCATGCACACCCTTAGACAACCTACATAGCTCCTCTGACAAAACATTTATCTAGAGTTTTGTTTTATTGATTAGAATTCTTTATTAGTAATTTTTGTTTGTTTAACCATTTTTTATTTTTTCAACAACTTTTTAAATACAAAATGCAATTTTGCTTAGGGAGCAAATCAGTGCTACTAGTCTACACAAATTGTAACCTCCAATACATATATTTAAATTTCGTATGTCCCATTTTCTATCTTAGTTTAATGCAACTAAAGATGATCTGTTGTACCTGTTACAGAATCCAAAGCATTAATCCAGCTGCATTCGTCCTGGGAAAATGTGGGTAAAGTAGTGAAGTGGGATCGGCAATAATGAATAGTTTTCCGTCCGTAGAAGGCATCTTCAATCTCCAAAACCTGACCAGAACCGCATTGCAATGTGGCATTTTGACCTTCACATGCAACTGTTCTTCCAATATCTGCAAAGACAATGTATTATACAAAAATAAGAATAAAAACAGACAAATATAGATCCTGATAAGCTCCCTTGTGGTCATTATGGACAATATTGTTTTACTGGGTTTTTAATTGATCATCTAAACTGTTGTTTCCAAAGTAGAGTCAATACGCAATATTATAATTGATATAGGTATTATTTAGATTTAAATTCAGTTTATTTATATAGCGCCAACTCACAACACGTCATCTCAAGGCTCTTTACAAAAACAATTATAGTACATGTTATATATTAATATTACAGAGCCATATGCAGATACAAAAATCCAAGGCTAAACCCAATAAAGCTTATGCATGGTGGAGGCAGCATCTTCCTGGGTCTGCTTGGTACCAGGGGTGCAAGTGCATTTCAGAAAGTAGCTGGGAAATTAACTTCTTTAGCCTGGTAGAAAACAAATACAACTGGATAGTGTTGCAATAATTTTCTTCTCTTTACTTTTATAAAGGTAATTTTGTTTGATTGAAGCCTGAAAAAAGGATGGATAGGAAATAAATTTAAAACTGAATCATAGCAGTACAGTTTATCTAGAGGGAACATACCAAACTGGCAGACAAAGTTGAGTTCCTGGGTGCAGTTTTCTGTGGCCGTCCACTGGAAGCCTGTGTGTCCCAGAATGTGTCCACAAGCTGCTTGGACATCAGGTGGGTTTACCCAGTTACTGTAGCTGACATCTGAACTGTCCAACCATGCAAGAGAACCTATTAACCAAAAAATAAAACAAAACATAATTTGATCTGAACCTTTTATGATAGCTTATGGAAATCTGTGAAATACATTCAGAAAGAAAAGAAAGAAGTTGAGCGTTTTGGGTCAGTAAAAGTTAAACACTTAAAGGAACGCTGGAAATTGGAATGGTATGGACTTCAATAAATCAAGATTTACCTTCCTGTTCACCTGTGCTCATCCCTCCACATCCATTTTATAATAAACCATACCAACACACAGCACACGCTGCCTTCTGAGGTCATATTTTACTCTAGGATATCTCAGATTTTTCGCTTTTGTGTTTAAACAAAAGCACAAACTGCAAACTATTGAAATGCAATTTCTTTGACATAAATTTTCAGTTGACTCTTAAAATGTTTACTAGCCGTCCCATAATCATAAATTCATTGTAAATTATTGAAATATCTTCTTAGAGCTCCATCAGCTCACCTTCAGTGGGAGAGGAATCCTGAGTGAGGTTTGGCGCTGCAGGTGCCAGCCCAAGCCACCAGTCCTTATCAGGCTCCAGGTATGTTTGAAGGAACTGCTGTGTTTCATCATTCAAGATAAAAACCAGGTGTCCCCCACCTCTCTCACACCACGCTTCAGCTCTGAGGAAGGAAAACTGCAGACCCACAAACTCATAGCAAGCTCCTTCAAATGCTTTCTGGTAATTAGAGCAGACTATAAACTCTTCCTCAGCGCAACAGCTGGAGATGAGGAAAACCATCAAAGTGCTTGAGAGCAAAATTACTTTCTCCATCTCTGGGCACTGACCTGCTTCTGTGGCAAATTTGTGCCTTTAAAGGTTTCTGAAGCCAGCACTTTGGACAGGGAGGGGTGTCTGGCTTTGTGATCTGCCTATAATTCTTTGAACACAAATGGCACCCACACATGCACTTAAGGAAGATGGCTGTGTCAATAACTGCTGATTGCTCCTCTGCCCCTGGGACTGTAAAAGGTACAAGCTGCAGAGAGAGATAAGCTTCCCAATCAAACCCAACATGTCCGTTTCTCTTTAAAGGTGTTCTCTTTTAAAGGTGAAAAATGTGGTTCTGGGGTTTAAGAAAATACAAAGACATTTTTGATTTTTTTTTTTCTTTCCCGTCTAAAATATAGTCTGATCACACACAAAATAGAAAATATTTAATGGTTTAGCTGTAATATATAGCCTCAGGCTAGTTTAAAGTCAGATCCACAAAACATCTGCAAAAGCCTACATAAAGTGTCAGTTGGAAACAGTGTAGATTTGTCCCATTTGCTACCATCAATTGGACTGTTTTTGTAGATACGAAATGAAGGCCAACTTCTACATCACTGGGAACAAAAGCATGAAGCTACCCTCAGCATGGTTATGCCATTAGTTTCAAGTCTCAACATTTGCCACCAATGCTGAAAAGCTTCTCTAGAGTATCTGCCCCCCCACCAGGCATTTTCTAAGTACTTTGCTTCACTGAGCTTAGCGATTTTCAGTCTGGAATAAATTGACTAGTTTATCCTGTTCTACCATCTAGAGAAAAAAAAAAAGAAAAAAAAACACATTGTTAATACTTGCTTTACTGGACCAGTTTGAAAACAAAGCCAGAGTTAGAAGTTTTCAAAACAATTGGCCTTCAGAACCTCCTGCTTTTAGCCGAATAAAACTGAAACCGTGGTGGAGTATTTTTAAGCCAACCAAAGTAAGATATCATTGCTGGAGGCTGTAAATGGAATGACCAATCATCCCCCTCCCAAAAAGAGTGCAAGAACACCAGATTGGACTTTCAACAAGTGTTTATTTGGGATATGGGCTCAGAACTTATTTCATAGGCATTCAGCAATTTCCACAATAAATTCATAGCTTTGCCTTCATTGTCATTTTACAATGCCAGGATAAATGTGGTGCTCAGAGTATAGTTTCACGATTCTTCCTTTGCCAATCTCCTGGGATTTATTATCAAAGGGCCTAAAGTCAAGGTGTCACAAAGGTCATCTGAAAGATAAAACAGGTAAAATTACTGTTCAGTTGGGGCAAAAAAATAACCGACATGTCCTACTATCCTAACAAAGACTTTTTATTAATTCCCCACTTTTCATATCTTAACCCTCACCCCAAGGCTAATCATTGGTCCCCACTATGTAGAATATTCCTGGGAAATTGTCCAAGAAATATTTAGTACATGACTGCACTCACGCCACTCAGTAGATTACATTATTTGGTTGACCTCACCAATCCACTTACCTGTAGACCTTTGGCTAATGCAGGTGCTTTGGCAACACTGACAAACATCATCAGTACCATCCACGTTCTTCCAGCTGAAAAACAAAAAATGCCATTTATGACTATTTATTAAAGTAGCAACATTGGTTTTAGTACCTGGAAATTTAATCATTTAATAATACTGGCAAACTCCAACTGCAAGCCAGTGCCTTTAGATTGCCACAAACCCATTGAATGCAGGTTTCATTGCTGCTGCACACTGGAATTCAAATATGTCATGATTCTCAAACTAAAAAGAAGACTAGAAGGGGCTAAAGAGTCTCAGCCACTTTGTTTAAATGACAAAAGCAAGCATGTCCAAGTCCTTGAGAAATATTGATTTTTCCTTAAAGTTGTGGCACATCAAAACCTTTAGATTTACAGAGGTAGTTTGAAAGTGTGAATAACTGGACTCCATCAGTATCCAGAGTTGACTGGCTTTGTAGATTAGGCAAAAATTTTAATCTGTGGTTTTATCCCCAGTTTTAGTCAGACCAGTGTGAAATTTCTGTTGCCATACCAGCCAGGAATTAAGCTATATTGAAGTAAACGGTAGAGTTGTGAATTCTATTAGAATGTTTACAAGATGAGCATTTAAATATTCGCATTACATTTTTTGTAAGTTAGCAGAAAATGTAACCAAACCCACCTCGAATGCCTGTAATTGCAGACCTTGTTTGTTGGGCTGCTCTTCCACAACTGGCCTGTAGCTTTAACCTCACAGGTTATAAATATCTGTGGCAGAGAGGAAAAGTCAACTAAAACAGTCATTCCACATTGTTGTCAGTGTAAAACTAGCTACTAGTTCCTTACAGTGTTCCTCGGATCATTTCTAAACAAGAAAGCATCAAATTGGAGCCGAAGCAAACTGGGCTTTGATCTGGCTTGAAAGACTGAATTAAGACCTCCATCTTTAGCATCAACAAAGCAGCTGAGAAAATAAAATCATGTTTTTTAAAATTTTGGTCAACATTTAATCCCAGGCAGCTTGAGAAACTGGGTTGGATTTTACCCATGGTTATCAATGAAATAGTATCTGGGTGCTGATGTGTAGTCAGGTGTCAGAGTCGCAACACAGAAGTCGATGAATAGTTTCCTTTGATCTGGACCACTGTACGAGGCCTCGAGGTGCACTGGGTCACCGAGGTAAAAGGCATTCGTATGCTTCTCACCTAACCAGTCATCTGTTTGCAGAAAATAAACATTAAATTTTACGCAATTATTAAATACACAATACATTAAAAGGCAACACAGACCAGTTTTCAGCTTCAGAGAAATAGGAGAGCTTCCCATAGGAAACTTTAATGAAGCGGAGGAAGCTTGAGCCTGCTGCTGAGAAGTGCTGCTTACAGTGTGGGTCCTAAAAAACAAAAAGCTACAGTATCATAAAGAAAAAGTCAGGATTTTTTTTTTATTATTTGTACCAAGACAGGCTACCTTTTATAATGGCAAGAAACGGGAACCACAGCTTCCGTCATCCTTGTAATGCCATGAGAACCAACAGGTGGAGATAGCATCAGGTTGTTCGAGTAGATCATGTCATCTCGAGATATCTAGTGACAGAGAGTTCACCATCACCAAAAGCAACATAGGGCGGACAACAAAATGAGTGAGCAGCTTACTGTTAACTTGGAGCCACAGTCATGCAGTTCAGCCTCTATGACATATTCTCCATTCCCAGCATCAACAGCTTGGCACCGTTTGTTCCTCCAGTACTTGGCATCTCCCAGAAACAGCTCCTCTGGGGAAACTAGGCGGCCATTGTTGTAAAAATCAGCCTGGATTAAAATTATCATGGAAACTTCTGTGCACTGCACACGAACAGTGGGTCTGTCACTGGGCTTTGGTTTGCTGTAATCTCCCAGATTGACAGATTTGTATTCCCTTCCTTCAGCATCAATCATTGGACCTTCTTTTAAAGTCCTTATGGCATCCAAGACTCCAAAAAGGAAAGATACCAACAGCACCAGAGACCTCATTCTGATCTTGGGATCAAACAATTCACCCATGAGGAGCTTCATCTGAACCCACACAGTTAGATACTGTGTTTTGCTTGGTAAATTCCTCTCTGATCTTATATAGAAGAATCAACTCAGCTGGTGAGGACAGCTGAAAGCAATCAGAGATCAGCTGACAGAGAAGAGGGGAAGCATTTACCAAGGGGAGATTGATTCAGTACATTTTTCAAACACACACAAACACACACTTTGGGGTAAATGTAGACATGTGCCTGCTTAAAATAAAAATGATTGGAGTTTAAATGAAAAAGGAATAAAGACTGATATATATTAAAGAAACTCATATTATAACTACCTTAAAATATATTCTGATGGTTATAAGAATTTAAAAGGACGTGTGGGAATAGGAATATACATACCAGAGTTTAAAATATACATTTCTAAAAGAATATTAGATCAACTATCTGTTCTCACAGCAGAAATTATGAAAATTATACAAAGTTTACAATGGGTAGAAGAGGTTAGACCAGACAGGGTGGTGGTCTGTACAGATTCCAAAGTAGTTTTATAGATTATTCAGGGAGAAGGAAATGATAGAAAAGATTTAGTATTAGAAATCAAGCACAGTCTATTTACCGGTAGATTATATACGAGTGGCATTGATATTTGGTTATGTTGGGTCCCAGCACATGAAGCTGTAAAAGGCAATGAAAAAGAAGATATATTAGCAAAAAGGGCTTTAGAGGGAACTATAACAATTACAATTCCTTTTGGGAAAGGAGGAGGTAAATTACTTATTAAGAGTAAAGAAATGGAAAAATGGCAAAAGAGATGGAATGAAGATAAGAAAGGAAGATGATTATATAAGGTACAAAAATCAGTATTAAATAGAATCATTAATGAGAGAAACAGAAGCGAAGGAGTAATAATCAGATTAAGAGTGGGTCATACCTATTTAAATGACAATTTATATTTAATAGGGAGGAAAAATAATGATAAAGTTAAGGATGTGGAGAAAAAGAAAATGTGGAACATGTACTGAAGAACTGTAAAACTTCTGAACATGAAAGGGAGAAATTAAGAAGGATGGTTGGAAGGAAAGGCCACGAATGGAGTCTTAAAGGAATATTGGGAAATGAAAGAAATTTAAAGGATATTCGCAGATTAAGGAAAGCATTATTTATTTATCTATCTATCCATTTTTTCCATTTTCTGACACGCTTTCTCCAAAGTGGGGTCGCGAGGGGTGCGGGTACCTTTCTCCAGCTTTCTACAGGTGAGAGGCAGGGTACACCCTGGACAGGTCGCCAGTCTATCGCAGGGCAGCAATTCACACATACTCTCACACCTATGGAGAATTAGAGAAGCCAATTAACCTAACAGTCATGTTTTTTGCACTGTGGGAGGAAGCCGGAGTACCTGGAGAGAACCCACACATGCTCAGGGAGAACATGCAAACTCCATGCAGAAAGACCCCGGGCCGGGAATCGAACCTGCAACCCTCTGCAAGGCAGCAGTGCCACCCACTGTGTCACTGAGCAGCCCGTTTATTATCATTCTTTTATTTTAATTATTTATTAATCTACAGAATACAAAATTGAAAAATAGAATTTGATGTAAGGTAATGTTGCTACACACACGTACAGTAGGTGGCGGTATGCACCTTAAAGTTGCTTGCGATCCGCCATAATAGAAAAGAAGAAGATAAAACAATACGTAATTTCCTGGGGACGGTTGTTTGGGGGACATGACTTACTGACTGGTTGTTGTATGGTTATCTAAACATCTCTAAAGTGACTCTCCTTTATCCAACATGTTGGCCTGGAAACGTCTCTGTAGCGGCACTATATTCAGCGGCTTTCGGAGCAGCCCGGTACCAAACATTTGGAGGAGTTGTTGCTCTTGTTGCTTCTAGCTGTAACTCCTGCTCTGTGCCTCCGCAGGTAGCCGCTGTCTGTCAGCTGCAGAGAGGATTTTCCTCACAAACTGATGGCGAGGAGCGAATCGCTGGGATACTGAAGCAGAAGTTCCCTCTGGCCTCCAAGCTCAAAGTAGTGGACATATCAGGTAGGACTAAACCCCCCTTTAGACTGACTGCATCATGTTAAATAACCTGCTAGACTAATCTGTCCTCTGATCATCTATCTATCCACTGGTGACACTTGTGAAGGTGAGGAAAATCAATGTTTTCTGCATCTATACACTTAAAAAATATATGGGTTGAAATAAATACCTTATTTCCAGAGGCGTAGCCAGAAAATCTTTATAAGGGTGGCCAGGCAATAACCTATGTACACCAGTGAGGGGTGGCCGAAATTGCATAGGCGCCAGAGCCTATACAGGCCAAAGATAAGACAAACTATACTTTCCTACAGCCTTTGCTAACAAATAGATGCATATATTTAAACATCCAAGCTTTCTAGATAAAGGTATAGTGGATAAAATACTTTCAGGTGTGAGATCTGGGGCAAACATCTTTACCACTGTCATTACTTACCTACTTTTATCTATAATCGTTTTGCATAAAATTGATATTGAAATATATAAATTGATTATTTAATAAATTTTTATCAAAATAGTTATTTGTCTATGATTTCTCTGAAGACTCCTAGATGACTTGCAGAGACACATCATTTTCTCTTTACCCCATATAACACAAAATCTAGTTCTGAAAAGAGCATTCATTCTGTACTTATCATCTTAAATGTTAGTATATTGATGTGTATAATTAACCACAGTGTTGTTGTCAAGAAATTATGAATACATGAAAAAAAAAGTAAGTAGTAGGGCTGGGTATTTTAGCCAAAGTCCTGAATCGATCTGATTTTGATTAATACAGTTCTAAATCGATTAATTTCGATTCGATCTGTTTTTACAATAATGCAAGTGGTTCAACTGTGTTTCAAAATACTCATGTATTTTGTTTTTTTCCTGTCACATTAAACACAAAGTGCAAACTTGTAAATCAGACAGTATAAACATGAGATGTGAACAAAACTGTCTCAAAAGTGTGATCTTGTTTGTGAAAAAGTGAAGCCTCACTCGAGCGAGCAGATGTGACACAGCGGGGACAAAGCAGACATGCATGAGCTGCATTATCTCCACTGTACAAACCATATTTGCAGCGATGTCTGTAACAACTATAGGGTCTTTGTTGGTCAGCCCCCATTTGTTAATGTCTTCAGTCAACCTATTGGCTATATTTGCAGCTTGAAGTAATCTTAAATAATATTCCACTTGAGAGGATTACTGCTGCCGCCATCTGTATTAAAGGGAAAAATATGGTAGGGATGGCCAGTGAACACCCCTGCCCCCCCATCTAGCTCCGCCCCTGCTTATTTCTAATCCTGCTGTATGGGAGTGGGGGTCGATTTTGTCTTTCATCCTTAAAAAATGGAAATGCATTCTTCTGTCAGCGTGTTTATTCACCCTTTCATTCATCCATGAATGCATCTTATTGCCCGTTAGTAATCCATGAAGTTGCTCCAGTCAGATTACTTTTCATCTTATAAGAAAGGTGCACACTCATCCGTTATCTTATAAATGTATCTTCAACCAGTCTGTTTATGTCTGCCTGTTTATCCCCACATTTATCTATATGCATCCCAAAAAATGTGTGTTTGAAACAACATATTATTTTGAGTCCTTATAAAAGTTATTTTATAAAGCACAGGCGTATTGCCATGTTTTAAATTATTTATAACGATTTTACAAAAAAACTATTACACACTTATTCAAAATATAATTTACATCCTGTTAAACCAAAGAATATCAGTACAGATTTCTGAAGCATTTTCAAATGTGGAATAATATGATGTTATGAAGGATATATTCATTTGAAAGTTCTATAAATAAGGAATAAGATTTTTAATGATTAGATAATGTGATGCCTGTTAGCTGAGACATATTTATTTTCCACGATTGCAGTGCTTCAGTTCAGGACATTGAAAGACACATAACCGTAGCAATTTATAATGTTTTCTTCAATTTAAAACAAACTTAATTCAATCCAGCCAGTTTGATCAGATCTATTGATATGACAATGCAGAGCGCACAAACTTACAATGTTGCATATACTCTGAATACAATAAAGGAATAGAAAGGTACAAATTCAGTCAAAGAAAGGAAAAATATCTCTAAATATCCTGTTGATCTCTGCTTGATCAGACTATGTGTGCATGTGAGAGGTGTGTATATAAAGCCCAAAGCATTAAAACATTTTTTAACCCCACAGCCTTTTGGTTCTGCTCGCCATCTCAGAGCTTTAGAGTGAAACCAAAGCTGTTTGGAATCTAAATAAAAAGCAGCCCAAGTTGCTTATAAACATGAAAACTGATGAGATAATATTTTTGTATGAAAATTGGCCTATTTGTCATTGTCAGATTATACCTTAATGTTTTATGACAGGTAATTATTTGTTTAATACAAGACAATTCCTCTCTTTTTACATACGACTCTTGTTTTTGTCTTCCTGCTGGTGTTTAGGTGGCTGTGGGGCCATGTATGAGATCCATATAGAATCCAACGAGTTTAAAGGAAAAAGGACCGTTCAGCAACACCAGTTAGTCAACCAAGTAAGTTTATAGCTGTGGCAGCATCAGGATAAATGCAAACCTAAACCTTAACCTAAACCACAAGAAGTCCATGCACTTTGATGAATCTAATTAGAATCAGAATGAAATACTTTGCAAGTATTATTTTGGATAGAACAATTGATGTGAAGAACTAAAGGAGTATTTTAGATGGAATCTTTTTCTTTTAGTGAACATCTCCCACTCAGGGGTAAGCCCCTCCCTGACTCTTAATGAAGAGTATCAACTCTAAGCATTTTTGGCATTTTCAAACTGTAGTCTATATCCTTTTGGCAATCACATCTGTCAGCTCTTTAGGATTATTCTTATAATTTGGCAAAATATTAGGTCTAAAAGCATTATCTGGTTGCTTTGATCAGAGTTTTATTCACTATCTGTTATCATCTTTCCTTCACAGGCCCTGAAGGAGGAGATCCAAGGCATGCATGGCCTGCGAATATTTACTAATATCCCAAAATAATGAGGAAGAAAGACATTACCTTTCTCTCCTGGTTCTCAACCTTTTTCTGCTTTGTCACCTGATAAGACTGTGCAGACTCATCATGCACATAGTATTATTCACAAACCATATTAAAACAAACAAAGCGTCATCGGCAGATATGTAGTTCCATGTTGGTAAAGTGAAAATCTGAAAGACCTGCACAGAAAGATGTACTAAGTTTTTTTTTTTTTAAAAGAATGTCTTTTACTTGAGATTTAAAACCAGTTACAGCTGTAATACGCACAACATGACTTGGAAAATGTTAGATGATGATCAAGTCGGTATTCTCCCCTGTTGGGGTTCTCTCAGGATTGTCAGTGATGCTAGTGGTGGTCATCACAAGCACCTGAAATGGTCTAGAAACCCTTGCTTTAAGCTAGTTTTCCTGCAATGTGATCACAATGTATGTACAGTTCCATTAAAGCTGATTTATTTAAAAAAAAACAAAGATGTGTTACACAAACTGTATGCTCACGTTCCGGATGGAAGTAATAAAAAGCAGTGGCTTTACATGATTAATAACCAATGTTTTTTTGTTTTTGTTTTTTTTTAAACCTTTGCAACCATCATTACTACAATTCACAAAGGCCAAGCCAAATCAACAGGTGAGGCCAGGTAAATGCAGCTTTCCTCCACAGACCATGAGGCCGATCACAGATTCATTGATCCAGCAAATATAGGAGATCAACAAATAGCCTAAAATAAAAAATTTCCTAACTGCTTCTTTTAACCGAAGGTCATAATTTAAGTATATGCTTGTAATTTTCTAAAATGGAACTACTGTAAAACTAAAAACTAACAGTGGAAGTCAATATAGATCATGATTTATATTACGTTTGTTTATTTGCATTTAGTTTCCTCTCTGGTGTAGTGGGGGACTGAATTCTAGTTGCTTCAGGAATGGCTTCTGATATAAAAACTCAAGTAGCAGAAACCGTTTATTTTTTTGTTGTTATAAATATTCTCTTCACTTGATATAAAATTTTGGTTCTATTTTATTTATTTCCTCGTTTAGATTTTTATTAGGTTGTAAATGTTAGTTTGTGTCAATTTTTACATTAAGTTTGGGAGATTTGCCTTTGCAGCAAAAGCTATTTATCTTTTTGTGTCACACATCCTGCCAATATAAATATTCTCTTCCCTTGATATTACATTTTGGCTCTACTTTATACTCTAAACATAAATATAGATAAGTCTGATAAGATTTAGAATGATTTATGTTAGTCCCTAAACAGTAAAAAAAGAGAAGATATTGTGAGTAAATGTGAATTAACTTCACACACATTACTTAAGAATAAGAATGTAAAACATGATAAAATTGTAATAAAATGTTAATATAATGCCTGTGTTTTATTTTAATTCCATGAATTACTTTTTTATGAGTTAATTTATTTCCTCTTTTAATTTTTATTAAGTTGTAAACGTTAGTTTGTGTCAATTTTTACATAAAGTTTGGCAGATTTGCCTTTGCAGCTTCGGAAAAAGAAAGTTTTATGTTCAACTTTCCACCGATAGATGGCGCACTACATTCTTCAACGGAGGATGGAATTCTAATAATAAAAGAAATATATATGTATATATATATGTTTTTATTAATCACCAAAGTGATAAACTTTAGTCTTTTTCTAAAAATCAAACACAATAAATTTTAGAAATATTTTTTTTTTCATGTATGGCTGCTTATTGAATAGTGACCAAGCTCAGAATAACGGCTCCCCTCATCACTGTGGAGAATCAGGGAGGACAGAGAGCAGCCGCTCTACAACATGGCTAAAGAAGGAGCAGATATGACAGAGGAAACCGAGTATATGATAGACAGAAATGCGGGTAAAGAGGCGCTGAGCGCTGAATCACCCATCAACGCCAAAGAAATGCGAGCTGTGGTCCTGGCAGGTTTCGGAGGTCTAAACAAACTCCGGGTAACCAAGAAGGCAATGCCTGAGCCCCAGGATGGTGAAGTGAAGATCCGCGTCAAAGCATGGTGAATATCACTACAGTATACCATCTATTAGATCTATAGAGTGTCTTCTATGTTTTATTTATCTATGATTGTTTATCCAAGTCTAAAAGCTGAGCAGCTGATGGGAGAAATTCTTAGTCATGAAGCTACAGGTCTTTTTTTTCTTGGCTGTCTGAAGCCTGTTCATTTAAAAAAAAAAGCCTACATTTTTTTTTTTATTTGATGCATAATTTTAAACTTAAGAATCTGTTTTTTTTCCATTCCATCCTCTGCAGGTCTTTTCATTTCCTATTGCAGCTTAGCCTCTGCCAGTGTTGGCAGACAGACAAATGAAAGAGCTTTTCATTTTGTTCAATACAGCACTACATGTGTGGAATCTGGCCTTGTGTTCTCAGTGGATAAGCCCATGACTCACTGCTAGTCATAATGAAAAGTGTAGCTCTAGGTTAACCTTGCATCTTTTAGTAGCTCATATTAAATATGCCATTTAATACCTAGATGTGGGGGGAAAAAAGACTCCATGAAGACAAGGGTTTCCTTTTCTGAAATTTGACTGTAAGTAATTTGCTGACAGTTTATTTTGTGTTGCAGTGGCTTGAATTTCCTGGACTTGATGGTACGGCAGGGAAATATTGATAATCCTCCAAAAACTCCCCTTGTTCCTGGATTTGAGTGCTGTGGAATCGTGGAGTCTGTGGGCGAAAACACTCAGGGATTTGAGGTTAGGATTTGTGCCACATCCACCAAATATATACTGTATCGGTAAATCTGGATTAATCCTATATTACAAGAATCTGTTTACATGTTTGCTTGAAAAGTTTTTGCATGTCTCTCTCAGATAGGTGACAGAGTTATGGCGTTTATGAACTATAATGCCTGGGCTGAGGTGGTTTGCACACCGACGGATTTTGTTTACAAGATGCCTGATGAGATGATGTTTGCAGAGGCAGCAGCCTTCTCTCTGAACTTTGTGGCTGCGTACATTATGCTTTTTGAAGTCGCCAGTCTACGGGAAGGAATGTCGGTTCTGGTCCACTCAGCTGGGGGTGCAGTGGTGAGTTCACTGAAATAAGTCTAGGCCCTTTATTCAACAATAGGAATATAAATGTACCTGCTTCCTGAAGTGACAGCTCGTTGAAAATTAACACAAATGCAGCTGTTATTAAAAAAAAATGAAAATCCCACTGCTCAGTTTTATGGAAACACATCATTTCCATTTGTGACAGATTTCCTTACTCTGATAAAAACCTGCTCTCATTTTCAGGGACAGGCTGTGGCCCAGTTATGCTCCACTGTACCTAACGTAACTGTGTTTGGGATCGCTTCCTGTTTTAAACACTCGTCCATCAAAGACTCTGTGACGCACCTCTTCGACAGGAACACGGACTACATACAGGAAGTCAAAAAGTAAGCATGCAGGGTTCATTTCAAATGTAATGTCTGAAGATTCAAGCGGAAGCTGTCAGGTAACTGATACAATACTGCAGACGTTGCTGTGGGCACAGGGCTACTTGAGGATGCAGATGTTACCCGTTACCTTATTTGTACTTGAGTTGCAGTGGTCCCCATGGCAACTATTACTGGCTGCTTTCAGAGTGCTGTGGCTTTGTGTAGGTCTGGGTGGAGGTCTGCTTGGGGAGCAGCTGAACCAATTAGGACCGGGCAGTGATAAATATTACTATGAACATGCTGTCTGCTTGACTGCAAATCAAACAGGCGCTGCTGCCCAAGAGCCTTAGTGATGATCTCTTTGGAAAAATCTTTTAAAACGATTAAACGATCACAAGGTTTCTAAAGTTCTTTTTTTTAAAAATACCTTGCAATATGTTAAGAATTTTCTGGAGATTTTATTCCTGCTGATAATATACAATTATTAATAACTTTAATAACATAGAATATGCTGTAATATATATTGTACTGAATAATTTTAGCCGTTTTAGTCATATCTGGTGGATTATGGAAAGGTGTCTGAAGTTCGGAAAAAGAGGATTGTGTGCATGATTTAGGTTGAAGACCTCTCTCAGGATCTATGCAACCTCATTACTGAATGTCAAAGTTAGCACTTCCTCACAAGATTTAGTCAGAGGATTTATTCAAGATCAGTGACCACACACAGAGATCTCAAAAAAAAAAAAAAATTCAATTAACGGCTACAGAATTTTTTTAAGCAAACAATAAATAATGCTTTAGCCATGGCGCTCTTGATGTATAATACGCCACCGTTAAAGGATAATATGTTGAAGTGTCAAGGCTCAGAGCGGAAGACCCAGTATTCAGACAGACAAATATATCAAAAGGCGTTTATTAAAAATGAGGGATTTGCAGTAAACAGTTAGGGTGTCTAAGGCAGGAACCTCTGCAGGAAGAAAACTCAGGTTTAACTGGTATTAAAGTTCAGTCCATGCCTAGAGCACGAGGTAGATTCAAGCCAGTTAAGATGCGACGGACGCTGCCCAGAGAGTTCCAGATGTTGAAGCCCCAAAGATTGACGAACAGGTAGGAGATTAGAACCGAGCAGACGAAGGAAGGCAGAATAATCCAGAAGGTGAAGCCAAAGCTGGTGTTGAGGAGGTTCTCAGGAGTCTGGGCTAGAAGATCAGAGATTCGAAGAGATATCGAAGGGAAATCCAGGACAGTGTCAGGAACCAGATCGAGGCACGGTAAACAGGCAGAAATCCAGCATGAGTCCAAAGACACGTCAGGCAAACAGATCAAAACAGGAACAGGCAGGCTTAGAGGTCCAAAGGTAGAACACGTCAGGATCAGGCAATTAACATCAGCTAGAAAGCTCTCATCAGGGACTCGAATAATCTGGCACTCATGCCTGGAAGTAGGTTGGTGTAATAGGGACTGGAGCAGGTGAAACAGAAGATTGGTAATGAGAAACTGGGCGGAGCAAGGCAGGTGAATGGATTGAGCAATCAAGCCAGTATTAAAGCGCCAAGATCATGACATTAAGCTTATAGAATGTTTTCTGATGTACATTAGGAAAAGTAATTGAAACACAGAGGGAAAAGAAAGTCTGGTCATATGAGACCCCAGTTTACCTAAATGCTTTGGTTAATACAAAGCACAAACACTCTAGGGAGAAATGATTGCACATCTCTCCACATCCGCTTACCGATGGTGGGCTCAGTAGAGGGGAGCGTCATAAAATGTGGCGGGAATCTGTGAACATAGCAAAGGGAACACTTTGTTAGAAGCAACCTTAAAACCTTTAAGTAAATCTTAGATATTACACGTGATACACAGTTTCAAGGTTGTAAAACAGTATTTTAGCAGTTAAAAACAAGATACTCTGGCAGTTCATCGGGTTATAAAGGATCTTTGGTAGATTCATTTCCTGCATCTTGAAAATGTAATTGTTCCTCTTTTGTAGATAGTTCAGGCCTGATAGTTCTTATATCTTTCACATTTCGTATTTTTAAATGTTATTATTTTCACAATGATATTTAAGTACTACACTTAAAGTCCA